ACACCCCCCCCACACACACTCCCTCCCCACCCGCAGACACCACCATCTACAACATGTGCACCCAGAAGCCGCCCCACGACCACTCGGAGCAGCTGTACGCTAGGTGGGGCTAGGGGGAAGCTTCGGGGCAGCTGCGGGGCGGCCGCCGCAACTTTGGTGCTCAGCTGCTAGGGCTGCCTCAGCGCTGGTGCGGACACTGACCGCTGGTTCCCACCGCTGTCAAGCCTGCCTCGCCTGCGGGGTCATTCAGCATGCGGTGCAAGCTCGCCTCGGCGCCAGGCTGCAGCGCCAGCCGCGTGGGCCAGCGGGCGGCCAGCCCCTGCCGCATGTGTACCTGCCTTGGCGCTGAGCCCCGACCATACCGCCTGCATGTACCGCCTTGCATGCGGTACCATGGTACTGCAGGTACACGGAGGCCTTCCAGGTGTACATCCAGGAGAAGGTGCTGCCCAGCCTGCGGGACCACCACGACGAGCACCTGCTCAAGCAGCTGAAGCAGCGGTGGGACAACCACAAGGTGGGGCCTCGGGCGGCGGCCTTGGGGGCTGGACACGTGGCATGGCCAGCTGCGTGCGCTGCACGGAGGGGTGCCTCTGCGGTCTGCGCCGGGGCGGGGCTGCCTCTGCCTCTGCGTCTGCCTCACGCACCCCGCCGGCACCTGTTCCCGAGCCCGCTCACGTGTGCCCCATCTGTACCGCCCACCCGTACCGCAGATCATGGTGCGCTGGCTGTCCCGCTTCTTCAACTACCTCGACCGCTACTACATCCAGCGCCACAACCTGCACCCGCTCAACGATGTGGGGCTGCTGGTGTTCAGGGGTGAGCCGGGTGCACCCGGGGGTGGGCAGGCGGGACGCGCTGCCTGCTGGTGTTTATGTGTGGGCGGCTGCTGCTTGCTGCTTCATGCCGCCACCACCACCACCACCACGCAACCCCGCTCACTCCACCCCTCCCGCCACCCCTGCCCCCCACCTGCCCCCCACCTGCAGACCATGTGTATGCCGAGATCAAGCGCGCCTCCCGGGACGCCATGCTGAAGCTCGTGGAGGCGGAGCGGGAGGGGGAGCAGATCGACCGCAGCCTGCTGAAGAACGTGCTGGCCATCTTCCAAGAGGTGCGGGCCTGTGCGTGGGTGTGTGCGTACGCTTGTGTATGTGTGCGTGGTTTGTGGCTGTGTGTCATTGTGTGTGTGTGTGTGTGTTGCGTGTGCTGCTGGGCGTGGAGGCGGCCGGCACCACGCACCGTGGGAATGCCGCTGGGGATGCCGCGGCCGTGCCCGACTTTGCCCAGCCCGGCCCCTCTCCCTTGCTCCCCCGCCTCCCTTCCTCACACCCTGCCGCCGCTCCTCACCCCCTGCCGCTGCCCTCTCCGCGCCGCCGCAGGTGGGCATGGGGCTGATGGAGTGCTACGAGCGGGACTTTGAGGAGGCGATGCTCAAGGACACTGCGGAGTACTACCGCAGGCGGGCGGCGGTGTGGATCCAGGTGGGCGGTGTGCGGCCGGTAATGAGCGGTGGGTGTGGGATGTAAGGCTGGGAATGTGAGTGAAGTGAGTGATGGGTGGTGGAGGCAGGGAGGTCGCAGGGGACTGCTGCGGCAGGGGCACGGTGGCGGTGGCATGCGACCAATGGCGGGTGGCGGCAGGGTTTTGTCCCGCCTCACCGCACCATACTGCTGTACTGCCCTGCTGTACCGCAGGAGGACTCTTCTCCAGACTACCTGGTCAAGGCGGAGGAGTGCCTGCGGGATGAGGAGGAGCGGGTCAACTCATACTTCCACGTCTCCACCAAGCCCAAACTGCTCAAGGAGGTGAGGCTGGGGTGGGGAGGTGGCAGCGGCAGGGAGGTGGCAAGGAGGTGGCAGTGGTGGCGGTGGTGGCAAGCGGGCGTGGAGGCGGCTTTGCTGGGCTGCATGGGGTGGGTTTGCTGCGACGGGCGGAGTTGGGAGGGCGGCGCCTGCCTGAAGGCGGCTCTGTCAAGCCAACGTGGCCCGTCTCGCTTCCCGACCGCCTCGCCCTTCCCCTTCCCTCCTACCACGCTGCCGCCATCACAAACGTCTGCCTGCCTGCCTGCCTGCCCCTCAGGCCGAGAACGAGCTGCTCAAGGTGCACCAGATGCAGCTGCTAGAGAAGGAGCACAGCGGTTGCGCGGCGCTGCTTCGAGACGACAAGGTGGCGCCGCTGGCTGGCTGGGCAGGCTGGCTGGGCACGCTGGCTGGCCGGGGCCTGCTGCCTGTGATTGCGCCGCAGCCCAGAACATGCCAGCATCCGGTTGGCCGCGCACCCCGGTTGGACTGCATCGGCAACACACGCCTAGCCACGGCCCGCACGCCATGCTGACGCCTCCCATGCCCCGTCTTCCCTGCCCACTGCCCGTACCGTGCCCGTACCGCAGAAGGCGGACCTGGGGCGCATGTACCGCATGTTCAACCGGCTGCCCAAGGGGCTGGAGCCCATGGCAGAGATCTTCAGGAAGCATGTGGAGGAGGAGGGTGAGTGCGCTGCCACGGCGACTGCGATAGGCGGGGTTCATCCCCGCAACAACCAAGTGTGTGGGCAGGTTGGAAGCACGGGGCTGCTTCTGCGCTGGCCTGAGTGAATCGCGGGCGGGGCATGTGCGGTGTTTAGCACACGCAGCGGGCGCGCTTAGTGGGGTGCGCAACGAGAGCTTTGGCTGCTTCACGCTGCCTGGCCTGGGGGCTGTTCAGGGGGGCTGCCCAGGGCCCCCGCGCCAGGCAGCGCCTGATCGTGCCCACCGCTCTCCCGGCGCCCTGCTCGCGCGCGCGCGTGCGGTGCTCCCGTCTTGTGTCGACTCTGGTGTGGGTGCCGTGCGACGCCATGATGCCGGCGCGCACACCAAGGCACTGCATGCGTCCTCAGCGGAAGCAGAGAGTGTGTGTTTCGGAGTGCCTGCGGCCGCCTGGCGCCGCATCACATGCGCGGCCCCAGCACTGTGGCGGGGGCATGGGGAGTGGTCGGCGTGGTGCCGGGGAGTTTGCGCGCCCGGCGTCGCGATTGAGTGTGTGCAGTCGTCCTCGCCTGCCACACCGTGCCCGGCCGCCACGCCGAGCGAGCGGGTGGGCAGGCACGGAGGTAGCAGGGCGGGGCCTGCACACACCTGACCCCGCCGCCCCGCACCGCCCCCACACCTGCTGACCGCGTTTCCTCTGCGACCGCGCTTCCTCTGATGGAGTTGCTCTCAACTGATTTTTTGACTGAAACAGAGGCTGACCACCGCCTCCTCCAGTAATGGCCTCTCACCTGCTGACCGCTCTTGTCCTACCGCCTGCCCCTCCTCTGCCCGTCTCCGCGCAGCGAGCCCACAGCTGCTGACCGCCCTGTGTGGTGCCCCCCGCGGTGCGTCCTCTGCCCTGCCCGCCCCCTGCAGGCATGAAGCTGGTGCGCGAGGCGACCGAGGCGGCTGAGAGCAAGAAGGAAAAGGAGCGGGAGGCGGGTGAGTTGGAGGGCGGTACTGCGGTGCGGTACTGCAGTGTGGTACTGTGCAGCCGTGCAGAGGGTGGCTGGGCGGCAGCAGCGGGACCCGCGCCCAGCCTGCCTAGCAGCAGAGGCGCCAGGAGGAGCAGGGGCGCTCGTGGCTTGTGCCTGGCTGCAGCAGCCCCCCACCTTGTCAGGCGGCCCTCTGCAACGCTCGCCCCACCATTCTCCCCGCCCTCCTCACGTCCCCCCACGCCGCAGGCAAGGCGGCCAAGGAGGCGGGCAGCAGCAGCCCCGAGAACGCCTTCATCCGCGGCGTGATCGCGCTGCATGACAAGTACATGGAGTATGTGCAGGTACCGTGGGTGGTACCGTGACAGTACAGTAGTGGTACAAATGACAGCGCCTGATGCGCTGGTGCAGCCGGAGCTGGGGCGGCCGCGGGGGAGCGCGCAGGCAGGCCCAGCGCTGCCTGCATGGCCTGCCGCCTCTCAGCCGGCGCCCTCTCACCCGCCGACGATACCTGCCCCCTTATCTCCCTCCTCCCCTTACTCCACCGCCGCTGCAGGACTCGTTCGGCAACTCCTCCCTGTTCCACAAGGCTCTCAAGGAGGCTTTTGAGTCGTTCTGCAACAAGCAGGTGTGCGCGTGTTGCTGCCGCTTGCTTGCTTGCTTGGCACGCCACGCAGTCGCTGGCCTGGTGCAGCATAGCAACATGTATCACAGGTTTGCTCTGCCATAGTCGACGCGACCCACTGCCTGAACCCATGCTGTGCCTGCTGTGGTCCAGGTGTCTGGCGCCAGCGTGGCGGAGCTCATGGCCTCCTTCTGCGACAACCTGCTGAAGAAGGTGGGCGGGGAGGGGGCCTGCTGCTCCTGCCGCTGCTGCTGCTGTGTCTCTGCCAGCAGGCGTTGCCGTGCACAGCTGCCTGCCAGCTGCCGGCCTGCGCTGCTGTGTGTGGGTAGGCCCCTCCTCCCACCCCAGCCTCCCTAAACCTTCCGTCAACACCGCCCCATCGCCCTGACCCCACAATCAACCTCCCAACCTGCCCGCCGCTCACCACCAAACCCTCCTCCCCCCTCATG